AGTTCTGAACGAGAACCCAGAAAAAGCCCTGCTTCTGCCATGGGACGCACAGCGACCAGGGGGCTTCAAGATCAGCGTCACAGGCTGTGTCGGAGACCTTGTAGAGCTAATACTTTCGGGCCTTAACGATCACCTATACTACTTTAAGGAGGTTCCTTATTCTACGTATAGTATAATGCACCCCAAAACCCTATTCTATTTGTTAAGGCCCCTATTTGGGTTTGGAATCTAGGATTCAGGGTCTGCTGGGAGACAAGCAATTTGTGAGCGACCTATTATACACGCGTTGTCACTACCTGAGCCCCTAAACCGCGACTTGATCTGAAATCGCAAAGACCCGACTGCTCGGCTAAAACCTGCCAGACATTGCCAGACCCACCAGACCCAAAACAACAGGCTGCACAAACACATCGCAAGATCCTAGAGCAGGGCCGTACCAACTCGAATATGATTAGGGGTATACTATGCTCTGTTTATATATACTTATGCAGGGAATATCAGGAGATTCTCGACCGCTATGCTACCTGAACCTTTCAACTCTGCTCCTGAGTAAACCACCCAAATCTACGGGACCCCCTTTCCCCATCCAGCTTAAGAAGGGTTTAGGGTAGAGGATTTAGCCTTACGATGCAACTAGGTCGACTAAAGATACTGCTGAGCAACCGAGATGATGCCCGATCTCCTCTTTCACAGCGTTGTAAAGGTGCACCGTCTCACACCACACGGGACAGGTGAGCACGACAAGAGGCCTAGAGGCTTTGGGCTTACAGTGCTCGGGGTTTGGAGTTCGGGGTTTAGGGCTTGTCCAAAACATCCTTGCAGACGATGTCAACTTGAGATGTCACGCAACGTGCTGTTGCAAGCATTGTTCCTGATCATGCCTGTTTTGAACGCGTGCAATTACGCTTTTCGATGCCACATCTCCTCGAACCTTTCTTCGACGCCAGGTCGGACCCTACCTTTATCTTCCCAATCCATTCGTTTAGCGCAGTGTCTACCGGGCTGACAAGTCTGTGTTGGAAGGAGTATAGGATGTGAGTTTTCGGGCACCTCTCCGATCTTTTCGCAGCACTAAAGTTGAAGTTTGTCACGATTCAGAAACGCTGGAAGTAAACAACGAAACCTTAATCCCAAACACTACACTTTTTGCTTCTGATTTCGGTGTACAGTCTATGTTATGAGCCCTGATGTTGGGGGTAAAGCTTACAGCATCAGATTGTATATCAGGTGGCATTTTACGGCTTACAGTGGAGATTAAAGGCTTCTGGAATGCAGAGGTTTTTTGGAGGTTCAAGGCTTATGGGCTGAAGGTTTACGGCTCCGAAATATTATGGACTTGAGAGTTATAAGCTTTAGGATATTGCAGGCACAAGGGCGCAGGAGCTTGGGGTTTCGGTTTCTTCGTGTGTGATATCTACGTTGCTCGCCTCAAGAGGGAAGCCGAAACATACCTTTATCCAACAAAACCGCAAACTGCAAACCATCCGGAGAAGAGCTAATTCACAAGAAGGGTTTACACGCCTGCATGAGGCGCGGGCAGAGGTGACTGGCACACAAACCGGGTGCTCGCAGGCGATGCCTGATGGACTGAAAGTACGTTCTATCGAATAAGCGGATCCCAGGCCTGAGAAGGTTTTTTTTGCACCCCTTCTCTGCGCCGCAGCATCCGGCCCGGCTGCTATTTCAACCCAAACCTCTCGAACTAATGCATCATGACGCGCACATCCGCCAAACCGAAACCCTGAGCCCTGAGCCCGACTGAACCCAAAGACGTGCAGCCAGCCCCCTGGACCCGCCCCCCAAGCCGCTGCTGAACCCTGGAAGGCCGTCGCATGGGCTTCAGGGTGGAGTAAGGTTTTATGAGAAGTGTATATGCCGGTTGACGAGGGTCTAGAATACCCCAATAGCTAGATTACTGGATACTCGGGCTTATAGGCTTGTAGGCAGTTAACCAACATCAGGTCCGTCTTAGACAGGATGCTTAAGTAGCATCGCCGCAGATCTGTATGGTAACATCATGGCAACACTGCGCGAAAGTGCGGGGACCGGCGATCTGCCTGCACCGATGGGCCGCCTAGCCTTCTACACCGCCGAAGGAGATGCGACACTTGCGCCGCTTATGCCACTTACCATCGACGATCCGCCGCTTGCACCGATTGTTGCCACTCAGGGCATGCAAAGACAAAGGAGCCGGGACGTAGAGCCGGGGAAAACACAGCGTCGGATGCGTGAAACGGGTCTATCTGCCGACGATACGCCGATTTACGTCGATACGCAGCTTACCCGGACTTACGCCGATTCCGCTCGCGCCGATATGTCGATTCAAGCCGAGAAGCCGTGCACTCGTTTTGCAGTGTAAGCCATATAGTTTCTATACTACCAGACACCTCATTCATATAAGTCGAGCGGAGCACAAAGTGTAGCAATGATTGCGCAGACCATACAGACAGACAGACCGACCGACGGACAGACGGACGTGGACGTAGTTGTCTGACTATCTCTGTGTCCTCAAAGGTTCTCATACTGAGGCGGTTGGTTAAGCTGTTTCGGTTAAAACTAGGACGGTGTTTATTTTGGTCGGTGGGGTCAAGAGTCAAGGCATTTCAAGCTCGACTTCCCGGAACCATGCAAACATGCAATTCAGGTCTTGAAGGTATGTTACATCTATAGCCCGAAGTCAAAAGGAATACTATATCTAAGTCAGCGCCTCAGCCCCACATGAACCCCTGAACCCCCAAACACTGCATGTACTCCTTGCATGGTGGTCTCTATAAGACTCGAGCAGGGTTTTAGGTATAGTGGAGTATACTCATGTCGGGACTATAAGGGGATTCTATCACTGAACCGGCCCTAAACCCTACAAGACATAGCAAGTTAGAACTTTACTTTGAAATCAACAAAACCAGATGCCCACCTGCGCGGCGGCTTGTGCTGCAGCCACAGCTTGCCTGACAAAGGGCTTGTAAGGCTTCAGCCTGGGAATTGACGTCGTGCGACTTGGATACTTGGACCTTTAGGGCTGTTGCTTGGGGAGTCCAACAACGTGTGGGGATGTTGATGTGTTTATGAACCCGCTCGGTCTTTTCCACATGGAGGAGCTCCTAAACAGCTGAACTTGTAATGAGCTGGCCTTGTGACCATGCTAAAATCATTCAGGCGCTCAGCACAGGTGCAGGTATGTTTTAGATTCCCTTCAAAGCAGCGAAGACCTCACGATTCGTTAGGGGGTCATTAGCAACCGACTGAACCCTACTTGATACGATTCTGGGGTACTTGGGCCTGTAGTGTAAACCAGTCCAACATGGCAGTGCTTCGAGGCCTAAGATCCAGGGAAGGCCCTGGAAAGTTATGTGCAATCCCAAAGGCCCTTATAATTACAGAAATGCTTATGGAGCCCTTAAAGGAACCCTGGGACCTAGCGTCGGGTGCCTCGCTCTCTGCTCGGAGGAGGCCACACCTGGGCAAACATCCCGAGAGATCCCTTGGATTGAACCTCCCATGTTCTGCGGTCTCATAAAGGCTTGAGACAAATCCTGAGGGTACCCGTATGATATAGCAATATCAGAATATTCAGCGAAAGCCTTGTCAAAACTACCGAGCCCTGACAAACCCTCACCGTCATGGAGGGTTCATACCAATCAATCAAGATCACTGCTGTAATCCTGGCCAAGGAGAAGGGCTCTATCAAACGTGATGTATCTCCCTCAACCCCTACAATCACAACAAACCCCTAACCCCAAATGAAAGCATAACAGTATCAGGGGCCTAGACACTTTATTAAGCAAACCGGAACCTCGAAGTCCACATCAAACCTGACAGCAAATGCCGTCCGAGCCCGCGACTCAGTCCTGCTTCTATCTGCGCCTGCGTGGGGACGGGGGGCGGAAGGGGGGGGAAGGGCTGATGAGGACGTTTACTCCCATGACTTCCAACTCCGGATGATATGAATGCAAGAGGCCCTCAAAAAGTTCGACAGTATATGGATCCCTGTATGGGTTTCTGAGGTAAGTCATGTGTATGTGTGTATACTTATGTATATATATATATACACACATATGCATGTATGCATGTATGTAAAGGGTTCCTGTACAGGTACCTGAAGCCTTCAACCCCTGCTCCAGACCCGTGCCCCATATCATCGGGGGCCTTAACAATTAGCGTAGAGCCATTGGGTATGTTATAGATCATGTGGGGACCGTACGGAGACATATTCAAAACCCGACAAGCTGCACCCTACAACCTGCACGACAAGAAACCAACTTCACGCGGCAGTTATTTCATCTGTACACGGCGACCGTCTCGCAAGCGGAGGCATCAGCAAATGAATGGCACCCAAGATGCGAACCTATGGGTCTCCTTATGTTAAAGAGAAGTTGAGGGCCACTGTCGGTCCGGCGACAAGTCTGAGGCTGCGCCAAAAACACAACTAGTTAAGAGTCGATATTCGGTAGAAGCGATGGGTTTCCACAAGCCGAGATATCCGAGAACCTACGGGAGCAGATGTTAGGGATGGAGGATATATGGTTTAGGGGTTTAGGGTCTAGCGGTTTAGGGACTTAGAGTGTAGGGTTAGGGTGTCAGAGTTGAGAAACCACCGCTGGATGCCTCCGAATTCGGCACACTCCTTCGGAGAGACCAGGCAGACAGTCTCTTGGCGAACATTAGCTCCGCCTACACTCCCGAATGTAACCCCGTTTTCGACTGTTCGATCTTTCCAAGACGCCTTAGTTAACCACCAACGAAACAAGCACCCTAAGGTATCCGGCTGTTGCCGGGCCTCAGATGTCATCCATCTCTCTCTCTCCCTCCCTCCCTAGCACCGAGTTTCTGAGGCTTGACGAACTTGTGAAGCTGGGTAATTCATCAAGTCTAGGTTATCAGAAATGAAAAAACCAAAACTGCCATACCGCTGAACTCCATCAAAGCAGAGATCTACACCGATTTGAACCTTTATGAAGGGATCTGTAAAAAGACAACTCTGGAATGAACTCTGGAATGGCTCACGCCGTGGCTTTTGCAGAAGGCTTCTGCCGGATGGAGGAACTGCCTCGGTCCGCAGAGTTTGAGTTTGCCCGGACCCCCAAAAACCCACCGTTTCAAGGGTTCATGTAAAGCATAGAAAGGAACCCTGACCAGGTAGGGCATTTGGGGGGTAGGGCGGATGCTTCACTGCGTTTGAGTATTCTGAAGGCGGCTTGGGAGCTAGGAGTTATAAGGGTTTGCGGTCTAAGATTTAGGGTACAGAGTTTAAGGTGTTTAGGTTTTGGGTTTAGGGGTTTGGGATTTGCAAAGGTTTAGGGTTCAGGGGCTCAGGGGTTTAGGCAGGGTTAGGGCTCAGCGGTCTGGGGGATTAGAGTTTAGGATTTGAGTTACGGTTTGCCAAGCTCCGCACCTTTGCGACGGAAGGGTGACGCCGTGGCCGCCTCTGCGGCAGCCTGCGGGGGATAGCTAGAGGTTCAAGGATACATGGGTTCAACTCCTGTCAAATTGAGGATGCAGCCTCTGGCTGTAAGGCTTCAGTCGTGAATGTTTGGAATTTGGCGTGCAGGGTTGAAAATGGTTTCGGGGTGTACATATGGGCACTATACTTGCACCGTTCGAATCACTCTGCTAGCCTCTTCGGCTTTCGGAGTTCGTGTTCGGACATTTCTGGAGTGAGGCTTCTTGACAGAACAGCGCTAACTTCTGTTGCTGGGCTTTACGTCGGCTGGTTGCGCTGGCACCAAGAGCCGTCAGCCATGAAACCACTTCTTTCAGGGTTCCGATGCAACTGGAGCAGCCAAGCCCCAAATTCAAAAACCGAAGCCCAATCCTAAATCCTCCGAAGCTCTTTGAAAGAAGTGCAGGGGACCTTGTAGACAAGTTTGAGCAGGGTCATAGCTAGAATGGCCCCAATTCGTTCTGCTCATTTTATCGCGCTAAAGGCTGGCCAAAATTATCCGATCTACTACGTCCCCTGCTCCTTCAAGTAACCAAATGAAGAGGAAGGAACATTTACTGAGCCTGTCGACTAGGGGGGGACTCCTTGAAACTTGCGGATTGACAGCGTCTGGCTTCGGGTTTTGTTGTATTGGGATTTCTGTGGCAATTGAATTTGGGGAGGCTAGACTCCAATTTCCTTAAGAATGTTAAGTCTTCAATCCCAAGTGCTCATCTGCAAGCTTCCGGAACGCCCAGGGCTCCCCACCTCGCCCAGCTCACGGTCCATAGCATCGAAGCGGGCGTCTCGCTTCGCGCTAACCAGGCGTGCCGAACTTGCCTGCTCCTGGCTCGGGTAGAACGAAAATACAAATGTACCAGGCAACCCTTAAGTGACGGCAACTTGGAAAAGCATTTCAGGGCAGCTAAACTTCAACTGGAAATAGTAGATGTAATACCAGCACCACTATCAATATAATGAAAGGTGCTAGGTCGTGGTGGCAGTAGCAGTAACAGCAGCACCAGCAGCAGGAGCAGGACCAGTAATATAGGGGCCAAATGCAGGGGAACCCCCGATGAGCCGAACCCCAGGGGGTTTTGGCGAAGTTCGGTAACCCCCGCCGTGCCACGACGAAGTTCGACGAAGTTATTGGGGTTCGGGAGAGGGTTCGTGCTCGATGCTGTGTCTGTGGCCAACAAACCACAGAAGCTGCAAGTGCACTGATGATTTTTGGATCAGAGCGAGTGCCATCATGTCACTACTAAGTAGTAGTCGCAGCAGCAGTAGCAGCAGCAGTAGCAGTGGCAGTAGTGGTAGTGGCCGTAGTGGTAGTAGTAGTAGTAGTAGTAGTAGTAGTAGTAGTAGTAGTAGTAGTAGTAGTAGTAGTAGTAGTAGTAGTAGTAGTAATAGCAGCAGCAGCAGCAGCAGCAGTAATAGCAGTAGTAGTAGAAGCAGAAGCAGAAGTAGAAGTAGATCAGAAGCAGAAGTAGAACGAGCAGGAGCAGCAGGAGTAGCAGGAGTAGCGGCAGGAGTAGCGGCAGGAGTAGCAGGAGTAGTGTAGGAGTAGTAAGGGCAGAAAGATGTATGAGGCGGCAGCCATCGCAGTCGTTGTCATCATCGTAAGATCGCAAAAGTCGCCGCCGTCGTAGAGCTAAGAGAAAGACAAAGCATCGAATGTGTTGCCAAGCAGGTGCACATGTGCTCAACCAGTCGAGGAAGCGCGAACATGCTCAAAGATTAGATATACACGCAAGGGTTCAATTTACACCAAATTAAGTTTTGGGTCGCAGCTATACAGCCTGGGGTGACTTTAGTACTACCACCCTTCCATCTGGGTTTGGGATGGGGGCTTGTAAGAGCAACCAACATCCGTCCTCCGAGGCGATCCGCTTCGCAAAGTGGAGCAAGTCTGCCGGAGTTTGCCTTGAGAAAACTCCCTCAGCCCTAAACCTTAAAAATGCAACCGGCAGAGCCTAAAGCCCTAAACTTTGGGATTGACACCTGAGCCGTCTAGTACCTCGTAATATGAAACCTCAAAGCTCGATAATCGCAATAACCGCGCAATTTGGCATTGCAGGATTTTGGGGGCTAGAGCTTTCAACGCAAAAACCCAACATTGAGCCTGCAGCAGTGCCATCGATGGGTTTGGTGTTCAAACAATGTGCTTGCCAGAACTTAAGGCTTAATATCTTGAAGGCGGGTTAATGCTGCAAAGGGTTTGAACTTGCAGTGTTGTCGCTGTGGAGGTTTGGGTCCAGGGTTTGGAGCAAAAGCATACGTTCTAAGTGGAAGGCTGCCGGCTATGCGTCGGATACACGGCTTTCAATAGCATGCATGAGATCGCTTTCCGTGATTCCAACCCGTTATCCATCATGTCGCACTTCTTGTTGGTTTGGCTTTCTGAACTTTTGGTGCATTAAACCCTAAACCATAAACCATAAGCCCCAAGCCCTATCCTGCTAGCCCGAACCCCGAAATCCACTTTCGATCCGTGGGGCTCTTTCTCTGCCTCGCGCGCAGCCTCCTGGGCGATCCGAATCAACTCCGGCTCCTGCGGCGCTTTTTTTTCTCCTGGGTTCCTTCCATTAGGGTTTCGGGTTTAAGAGGTTTGGGGAATTTCAAAATTCAAGTCTTCTAGCATGGGTCTGGTGCTTTTGGGGTTTTAGGGTCCCGCGGTGTTGAGCATCATGGCATAGTTATCAGTGCTCTGGAGATGTAAGGGTCTCAGACGAAGTCATGTGTGGTCATGCGCTCCCCGGATCCCCCCGAACCCACCAAGTTTCGGAGCGCTGTGGGTGGGGTGGGTGGGTTTGGGTGTGGGTTTGGGTATGGGTTGAGCGGTTGAAACCATCATTCTCCTTTTGTGGGCAGCGGGCTTTGAACAAGATTTTGTTGTTCCTGTGGGTCTCCTCCTGCTCCAAGGTCTGAGACAGCCGTTCGGAGATGGGTGGATTCGGGTTTGGGTTTCAAGGCGATGTATGGTTTAGGCTTCAATGCACTCTGAGTCGGTGGGATTGGCTAGGGCCTGCTGTCCTCGTTTGTAGTGGGATTTGATGCTTGAGCCAATTCCTTGCGTCATCCTGTGGGTGTGGGTGGGTTTGGGACGGTTTGGGTTTGGCTCTAATCGATCCTGCCTTCTCCCGGTAAGCGCAGGGGCCACGAGCCCGGAATGCAGTCACGAGACACTCACTGGAGAAGAAATTCCGGCAATGCTCTCCGGAGCTCCCTTTTCTGCTTCATGAGGTCGCAACGTGGGCACTTCCGAGCGCACTTCTGCTGCACTTTTGGACGAAACGACTGCAGTGGGGGCAAAATGGATTCCAAAATGTGTGTGGCCCGACTGACAAGCACAAGGTATGCTCGCTTCGCAAATCATCTACGCTCCTGACATGTGTTGACGTGTTCTTTCTTTTAGGGTTTAGGGGTTTGGAGGAGTCCAGGCTTGAAAAATTCCGGGCTCGGTTTATAATTCGGGTTTGACGGAAGGTGGGAGCGCCCTGTGCTCAAATTATCCCAAATGAACATCGCCCGGATATCCTGATATCGATGGTAGCTCACACGGTCAGTTCGTCCGGCCGGACAAATTGGAGCCCGGCTTCTTCTTCTTCTTTGTCTTCTTCCTCCTCCAGGTAAAAACGACACATTTTCGCAGTCGCAGCGCAGCTGCGAGCTCACGACTGAGGCTTGGAGCATCAGCGCCAAGACTGGCAGATTTTTCTGACGCGCTGGCAATGCGTTCTGGATCTCGGCTTCGCTGCCCATCTTAAGCTGTCTAAAAGCTTCTGCAACCGCTTGTGCCATCTTCATGGGCTCGTGTTTGTGCCCTTTCACGCTTTTGCTGTCTCCTCCGTCTCTCATTCTTGTCCTCAGCTTGAGTGATGACCGCCGCAAAAGTCCGGAGTCGCCCCCTCCGGTGCTCTATCGAAGCTTACTTTGATCATTGTATATTGATCTAAGCCTTCCAGAGTCCTATGAACTGAACTCGACTTCCCAGAACCTCGTCTCGTTACTGAGGCTTCTATACTGAGCATGACACATCATGAAACCATGAAACCGCTACAAGACCCTTTTTCTGTTGCTATACATAGACGCGTCTATGAAGACCAACAACTTGTCATCACTTCTAAATCCTGAACCCTAGACCTTGCACTTCGACACCCTTAATCCTGAACCTATAAACCCTTAACCCAAGTTGTGCGGCATCTCCTCTGTCGGCTCAGGAGGAGGCTCCGCCTGAGAGCTCAAGGAGAGCATAGGAGAGCCATGGGACTTGGGTTGGAGTCTGGGGTTTTGTTTGTGGTTCTAAGGGTTCAGGGTTTTGGGTTCGGTGGTTCGGGTTTAAGGTTCTGCGGCATTAGGATTTAAGAATCTGAGATCAATCGGGCTTTGATAAGTCTGTATGGGGTTCAGGGCTTAAGTGATGCAGAGGTTGAATTTTGAATACGGGGCATGATCTGGGGACGTGTACCTCAAAATCCAAGATTTTGTGGGGTCTAGTGTGGGGGCCTTCATAATCAAAACACGACATTTACAGTAAGGACCCATCCCCTCTCCCCGCCCCAAAACAAAAAAACACAAATTTTCCAAAAATTCAGGACCCAAAACTTAGCGTTTCCGGTTCAAGGCTTTAGCGGCTTGGGCTAAGGGCATGAGGGCCTTACGGTGTGTCCTTCATGTTGAAAGTTTTAAGTATCCCAAACGACGATACTTGACGTTGCGAGTGTCTCCATGCATTATGCTATATATTATGCATACTCGATACGAAGACATAGTTCATATAACAAGCCACAATATACACCAAAATTAGTATATCTTGTATTTTATACGTTGAATACTATAAGACAAACTATGTTATGCTAGCTGCTAGTTGTGTTCACAAACTATGTTTTGTTAGTCTATACTGTACTATGCCATGTCATGGTATCCTATGTTGTATTGTGTCGTGTGTTAGAAGACAAAGTGGTGTATTTCAGTGTTTTATCATCTCCTGTATTCTTCTATGCTGATCTAGTTTTTACATTGTCGTCACTGGCTTGTTCGAGGCATCTGGCTGGGGCGCTGGTAAGACGACTCTTCTGCAACACGTGCTAACAAACCAAGACGGTTTCTTAGCGGTTCAAAGCCCAACTTTTCAAGTTTTTGGCCTCTTATGATGTAGTCTAATTCTGAAAGTTTGAACTTTCTACCCCATGGGTATTTGTGAGGTGAAGTTTGCGCGTTGCGCTGATCTTCAACGACATGGCCGAATTGAATGTGGATGCCCGGCTGGCAAACTCCAGCTCGCAGCTCATTGCTGGAAAGGATAAGATGACCAAGATGCAGAAACGTATCCCCGGCTGAAATGCACTATCTGAAGCCTGATATCTGAATCGTCCTGCTTCTTGCAATGCTGACCCTGTAGGCTTCGAGAGTTGAATCTCGAAGCATAAACTTTGCCCTTAGGGTTGTGCAGGTTGCATGTGTTGCACCTTGCGTAGAGACCTTATCGAGAACGTGAACAAGCTGGCGGCGGAGAAGAGGTTTGACTACCTCCTGATCGAAGTGTAGGGTTCCTTAGGGTTTAGGGTTCAGGGTTGAGAGAGAAGAGGTTCGACTTGGTGTTCTTGCGGTCTTCGGGCTTGGGGATCATTTAGCAAGTACGGTCACAAAGGCAGCATCACGCATATCAGAGATCTTTAGAACACAGCAAGGTTTCTGTATGCACAGTCGCCCTCAAATCCTCTGGGCCCCTCGTCCGTGCTGATAAACCCTCCATCGGAAATGGTAGCATCAATTTTGATAATAGTTATAAGTTATAATAGTCATAGTAGTAGTAATCGTGCTAAATAACTCCATCATAAGAACAATAACAATATCTGTACAGGCCCTGTTCCAAGGCTGGAGCTATCAGCTTGATGTCCCCCTCAGCTGCGTTGCCCTCGCCCCCCTCCTCTTCATCTTCCTCCTGCAGATCTCCGGGTTCGCTGGCGTTTAGGGTTTAGGGTGCTAGACAGGGGAGTTTCAAACAAAGGGAGCCTCCTGACATAGAAACTGAAGTTTAGGATCCTTGCTGCAAGGTACCTTTACCGAGCGAGATAGCTTCCATATTGTATTTGTAGAGCTGGCACAGATCTACCGCGCGATCGCTGCAAAAGGTTTCATAAGCTTGACATGCTGTTGAAGGACTCAAACCTCTACAAATTACAACCCAAAATCCTATACCTCGCATCCCCCGTGGCCCCAAACTCCGGAACAAAGTTCAAGCTACACCCGCAGTAAACCCTGATATATCCCTTTGTCTAAAACCCTAAAGTCGGAATGCTGGGGGGCTCAGTAAGCACATGCAGGGTCCAAATACCCCATTAGCTGGAGTTTCAAAAACACAACGACCTGCGGTGCAGTATTTGGGACCTAGAGTATCGCTTGGATACTTGGACTCCGCAGGGTGGTAAAAAGTACACTCATGAGATAACCCCGAGTAATTAGATCATGTAGGTTTCATGCTAGCAGAAATAGCAGAGTTAGCCGGCTCCCACGATCCTGCAGCGGAACCCGATCCTAAGCCCTATAACCAATGGTATATAAGGGCAGGGCCAAAAATACGGGGACGCTCAGGGGATACTCGTATTGATTGATTGCTCGAACCTTTGTGAGAGACTTGCTAAGTCCTGGCTCTCGCATGGGCATGACTCCTTACGTTCCTTAAGACCGTCAACAAAACAAACAACTTTCTCATTTCTTGAAAAACGGTGTAGAACCCACACCAAAAAACATATACACACACAAGCTATCTTTGGAGCCCTCCAAAAAATGGAGCATAAACCGAACCGCAAACACAACAACGTGTATCCTCAGTGGTTGATAAGGTTCGTGTTGGTCTGACATTAAACGGAGCGCCCCTTTGCAAGCGATGCGAACTGAAAAACCAAAAGCCGCAGCCACATTTAGAGAGAACTCCTTGGACAGAGGAGGCGCCACTCCCTCGGGCAAAGAATGGATATTTTTTGGCAGTTTGTTGTTGTGGGCTTACCAGGAACCCCCACCCCAAGCACCATTTAGCAGAGCACTCACGATACTAAGTAAGACTATAGCAATAGAGGGTAAGTTGGGGTCTAGGTTGGGGCTTGCGATGAGGATGAGGGGACTGTAGCAAGCAGGCCATTAGTAGAACTACTGTTGAGAAAAATCTTGGTACTGTTTCCTGTAACCTGAATATGATGCACAATAGAAAGCTTTCCAGTCAGGGGCTTGCGCCGCCAACCCACAGTCAGAAGCACCTTGACAAAGGCTAGAAACAGAGCGAAGTCGTCAATTTAAGGGTTTAAGCATGAGCAATTCGTAATGGCTTGCTCCTCAAATGCCCATACACTTGTTCCAATTCTGAAGGCGACATGTTACAGTCGCATCCCACAGCAGCCGACATCAAGCTTTCTCTGAAGTAGGGTCGCTTGATTGTACTGTCCCCATAAGGGTACATCGCGTTTGCCAACCGGGATTTCAGAAGGGACTCTAGTCCAGACCTTTGCCTTCCTGTAAACCTTCCTGTAAAGAGCTCCGACAGACGTTTTCTGGATTGGGTTTGTTAGCCCAGACTTGGATTTCTGGTATCCCCAAAGACGCCCAGTTTCGTATTATTCATGGTCTTATGGAAGAGGCTCTCTGAAGAACAAAATTCAGAACACCCCCAACCAAATTCACGTACCCGTTATTATTAGTGCGTACCATGAAATCTTTGTTAGCTGGTTGACGGTACTTGGGCGGCCCTGGTAAACACTGCGCAACCTGCACTTGAATCCCTATATACCCTAAACCCCTGAACAGCCACAAACCCTGAACCCTAAACGCTGCACCAAAAAACTTGTTCCTGAAACTCTTCTAGTAAGAAGCCCTCAACCCTGAAAGCGTAAACGCCCATATTCCCGAAACTGCTCTCTTACTCCCTGGTGCTTAGTAGGGAATGGGGGAATGGATTATGGGGACTAATGTTGGGGATTACACAGGGGCTACTATAGGGATCAATTCTCCCCTTCCCCACTAAGAACCAAGCCGCGTAGGAAGCTGCCTCGTGCTCCGGGCGGGAAATCAAGCGCAAGACTTCCTTGACCTCATCCGGGCCTTCCCGACACGTCAAAGCTTAAAGCGTTCTTAGTACCTATTATATTATGACTTTTTGTTCAAGGCTCTTTTCCAACTTAATATATGGCTTAAAGGTTTAGGATTCTGTAATAGGGATTACTAATGGAATTCAATTACTACTATGATTTGTTTTGAATTCAGGGTTTACATATGGGTTCACGGTTGAGGGACTTGGGCTACCCATAACGTTCCAATCAGCACATAACAAGCACATGTAAGCACGACATTACTACATTAAGACTGCATGCCTCAACGTAAATACCATTTGCGTGGAGGAATGATTTTGGAGGCTGTCTGCATAATGTACTCGCGGCCGGGGCGGATCGAAGCCTCTTTCTGACAGGGATCGTTAAGGGGCTTATGGGGTTTATGGTTATAGTTTCTCGGAGTGGCTCTGGCTGCGGATGCTAAGATGCTAGCAAAGCGTATGGCACACAATGGAGGCAAGCCCAACAACATCGACGAGCATGCACACACTCACTTCCACCCATGACTACCAGCTAGGCTGTGATTGGGAATGCGTTGGAACTTGACTATATCAACGAATTGAACGTCTACCTTGATTAAGTTGTCCAATCCTTAGTACCAGCCGTGACATGCTTAGGTTAGGATACCTCCACAACGTTTGTATTTTTGTAGTAAGAGTTTACCAGCTGGCCCAAAGGTCGACTGTAACCACAAAGTCCTTAGATGACAAAACCATAATCTAGCTCCGGAGCCCTGCGTTAACCAGCAGACACTTCTAATCGTTGGCGAGCCTTCCAAGCCGTCCATGCTCAATTCGTCAGCGGCAACCTTCTGTTGCATAGTTTTGCTGTTCGAGAGGTGGTTTAGCGTGTCAATTTAGAGGTTTGGGGAATTCAGGTTTCGAGATTAGGTGTTCAAAGGCGCCATCTAGCGGTAGGAAATAAATTTGCGTCCAACCAGGCCCCACAAAACCCCACAAGATGAGGCCAGGGCCCACCCCACCCCCACCACCACCAAGTGCAATTGCGAACGGCAACCGCAACCGCAACCGCAACGGCAACAACAGCCGCAGCTTTTGTTGTCAAAGGCCGCACTTTTCCTGCATGGTTGCCAGGAAGTCCGGCTTCGTACTATCATTCAATAGGCCACACGGCATGTTCTCGACTTTGCAATGGAAAATCCTGAAAGCCCTTGAAGGCTCTCGGACTGTTGTTGCATTTTCTGTTGTTTTGCTGTTGCGGCCGGGGGGCGGTGTCTTGATCTGCTGCTGTTGCTGCGGGTGTTTGCAAACTCGATGCGTATGCATCACCGGTTCTGCGTGGCTTATAGCCACAACCACTACCACAACGACAACAGCTATAGCAACAGCACGCCACTGGCCTGCTGCTGACGGCCCCTTCAGGCCATGTTGCGAGTGTCAGTCTAAGAATAGGGCTTTTGGGGTTAGGGTCTCTAGAGTTCCGGGCTGAGAGCTTTACCCGAGCAAAACCGGGACATCTATCAGATCCCTGGTGCCTTCGAGGTTCAGGCAACTGACATCCAAACGAAACCCTCCTTGCAGGGGCCTCTGCAATTAGAGTAGGATTTTTCGGAGGAATACGTAGTGTTCTGGTTTTTTGTAGGATCCATAAAAGCTTTTCCGAACCCTATACCATTTGTCAAACCCGACAACAACTGCAGCATCTACAGTAATACATTTCTATTGTGGCAACATAAACCATAGTCGGGGCAAGAACCCAGCTCAGCTAAACTATGAGGCCGGCAGAAGGACCTGGTCGTCCACGATGGATGTCGCCTGGCTCTCTGCCTGGTTTTGGGTTTCGGAGCCCCGAAGCCTAGACCCTGCAGGGCTTCAGGCTTGAGGGTTGAAGGCTTTCCGGTTTAGGGCTTTCGAACTTTCGGCTAGCGCACCCCGAACCCGAAACCCACGCCATATACATCCGACGCCTCCAAAGTTAAGATCAAACAGCTGCATGTCCAGCAACCCCACACTAATAGAGGCTTTGAAACGGCCTTATAGGGCCTCTATGGAGATTGTTGCTGAGGTTTGCGCCAATTTACTTCCCACAATACCCTAGAACTTGAATCAAACCAGGCAACACCCGTAGGAGCCTAGAAACCAGCCATAAGCTTCGGTATTTAGAAGACATGAGCACCGTTCGTATCTTGGCGGGCCCTACCCAGAGGCTGAGCACCTATTCTTGTTTTGGTTTCAAGCTTATTAGAGTTTAGGGTGTAGACTTTCGGGCTTAGGGCTTTCATTCTACCGAGGGCTTTTTCCTGAGGTTTACGGCTCCAACGCGATGTATGGTTTCAAAGGGACTCTGGGAGTCTCGACGTTTCCAGGGCCTTGCGGGTTAAGGTATTTGTGCTCTCTCGGAGGTGGGAGTTGGGGAGTTGTTTTCTCAGATTTGCCACACGCTTCAGCCACACCGCAAGCCTATATACGACTGCTGAGACCATGAAACCGAATAACAAAGCATTGTGGTCTTCGTCACCTAATTAAACCAAAAACCACAACACGGATCCGCAAACTCTACACCGCACCTTGAGATAAAACTAAACCGCAGCCAGTGCCTCAAACCCTAACACCCTGCATCCCGAGCCCTAAACCTTGAACTTGTTCCATAACCCGAACTCGGCCCTATAGCTCCAAGACGCTCCAAGTCCTAAACCCACACACCCACATTAATCCGAAGGGAACGTAATTAGTATTTAGGGTTTAGGTTCAAACTCAGGGCACGGGGTTCCGGGGACATAGTAGTAAGCAGGATAGCATGAAGCTCTGATAACAACACCTTCGGAAAGCTTGTGAATTCCTTATCAAGTCCTTGCCACGAATCCTAAAATGCAAAAGAAGCAACAACGAGAACATGATCACTGGAAGCCTATACCCTAAACCCCCTCCCAAAACCCCCAAAACCCTTCGAGAACCCAGACACCTCGAGGCTCCTGTCAGAGGTGGCCTCAATACAGCGCACTGTGACGATTTTTAACCATACTGATTCTCAAATGTCTAAACGCATGTTCGATACTACCTTCGTGGCCGCAGGGCATGGGCCGCCAAGTCTGTGTACAATAGCGAAATATAGCGAACCTGTGGTCTTCAATCATGCGGCAAACTTTAATCAAAGCTTTTGTACTACCTCCGTGGCCCTTGGCGGTCTGACCGTCCTCCACTTATTCAAACAACTTCACCGTACTGTAAGATCGGGGCGTCAATTAGGGGTTCAGGAGTTTTAGGTTCATAGGGTACATGAATATATGTTCTCGACACATAGCGACTGAGGCCACAAGCCCTGTATCAGGGACTGAGACTGGCTTTGGTTTTGTGGAAATTTTGTATATGAAGGTTCTTTGACGGCTTTTGAATCACTGTACCTTTGCTAGATCCATTCCGCGAGATTTCAAGAGTATTGCTCACGCAGTTTACAGGGTTTCATTAGCTTTTGGTTTCGGCCTTGATGACCCGCGCAGGATAATTTAAAGGAGTCGTGGCTTTCAGGTTCATGGAGGGGGATTTGGGGTCCAGATTTTGGAGTCAGGTCTCGATCGTTGGGGTTCAAGACTTATAGTTGTGTAGTATCGTAACGGAACTACATAAAGCTTAACCTTTGGCATGATATAGGAACTATAGAGTTACCTGCTCGAACTATTTACAAAGAATACCTTGAGGGGATGGGTTCGGGCATTGAGCTCATGAGATTTGGGCGGGGATTACCACCGTTTAGGGATGCAGCGAACTTCCAAAGGTCTGCAGGCTTAGGTTTTCCATACCCCCCTTAAAGCCATAGTAAACATAGTGACATAGTAATTAAAAATTCTCTTGGGTTTTATATGAACAAAAACGGAAAACATAATTCCTAAGGAGACTATAGTTTCGGGCCTAGCATGTCAAGGTTCTTGCAGCCTGGGAATTTAGGGCCCGAGTTATTTTGGGAGCAGAAATGATGCTTCTGAGGGAACGGCGTTGCAAAGAGAGCACCGGGGGAGAGTTGAGCTCCAAGGTTCAGGGCTTCGGATCTATACAGCTGCTTTTGGCAGAACTTGCACATCTGCACCATGCAAGCTCATGAATAATTCGATAAGCCCCAAACCCTAAAACCTTCAACGTTAGATCCGGAAAGTCTGAACCCGAAACCTGTTGTTTTTGTTGCGCAGTTAGTCTTAGGAGGGCAAGTTGACATCCGGCATTTCTCGACCCACCTCTAGTCCGGGTTTGCGGCCCATACCCAGAGAGTCGAATTTCGGGGCTGTAAGAGGGTGCCACATGGAGCGACGCCTCAACCTGCAAACAGGATCAAAACCGGCAAAGGCCCACGGCAGCTCGCAACAGCAAGGAAAAAGAGATCACCACCCTAATCTCTTCACCCTAAACCCCTAAACCCTCCCTCCAAAGGAAACATAGCCTTCTTCAAGCGCCGCGACTGACGGGAGCCCGTCGAACGCGCCGAGTCCGGCGACTCATGTCTTAGTGCTTCGGAAGTTCTTCGATTGTAGGGAAACCAAACCTTCAGGGGGCTTATAATGCTGTAGCCCAAATCCGCCCCCCCCTCCCGTGTAACTCAAATTTGTACAGAAATCATCCCCCAAAATGAGCCACAGGTTCCTATAATACTGGGAGAATAGTCTGCGGGTAAGTGATGGCAGAGTTTAGGATTGGGTTCGATGGAGCTTCTATCGCGTGCTGCGGCATTCGATGGGGTTTCCAAAAGTTCGCAATGCGCCCTCGATTTCTGGACACCCTTCTTCAACTTCCGCTGTTCGGTTTGAGAGGACACCCCTGCCAGAAAGACTGGGTATGGATCGGACTATAGCGAACCCTCAAGTTCTCTCTAGTTCAAGCCCTCACCCTTCAACCCCTAAGTCAGTCATATTACATATATACATACATATGTACATATATATATATATATGTATCATTCATCTATATTGTGGCCAGTGCTACTGCCAGCACCTTCAGGAATCAAGCTATCGACGGTATTGGACAGCATGAAAACACGACAACAATAGTGCGTACAAGTAAACTACGAAAACAATACACTGCACTAAGGTAGAAAACGACTGCCGGCAGCGCAGGAACCAGACCGCTCCAACAGTAATAGCAATGACGGCACGAATCAAGATACGTGATAATCATGGGAGAACAGTAAGACCATCGGCAATGTGGTATTGCTAGTTACATGTTGGCGACCAAACCAAAAAAAACATACCAAAGTTTTTTATAAGAGATGAAGAAGAAACGTTCATAACCCGAATACACCCAATCATCCTACACCCTAAACCCTAAACTCTTAGCTCTTTACTAACCCTCAAGCCCTAAGCCCTACAATCACCCTAAGCTCTAAATTCTTCCCCTTCAAGCAGCCCTAAAAACTACAGTTAGGGGCCTTAGTCACATCAGTTTGTGCTGGAAGATGCTACCAGCAACTACTGGGCAGATGCGATGGGGTCACATCATGGTCACATCACCCAGGTGCTTACTAGCAGGAACGGACATATAGAGTGTCAAAAGTATCGAGACAAATACGGCGGAAATTGTGTAAAACACCATACTTACAAGGGATTTCGAACGACCGCCCGAGGCAAACCAGGTCTTTGTCTCACGAAGACTTCAAGACAACCAGCCGTTCCCATGTATACGCCCGTTTTCAGAAGCACCCACTCAACAGAAACAGCCGTAGAATCACAGCACTTCAAAACCAGCCATTCCCCTAACTGCACGCTCGATTTCCGCAGCACCCGCTCAAGACAAACATCATTGGCATTACACCGCAACCAGCCATTAGTCATGTACACGCTCGATTTCAGAAGCACCCACTCACGATAGAAATGCAGTTGTCTCACGAGGATTTGAGGAAAACCAGCCGTTCCCCATGTAGACGCCCGTTCTCAGAAGCACCCGCTCAACAGAAACAGCCGTAGAATCACAGCACTTCGAAACTAGCAACTAGCCATTCCCCTAACTGCACGCTCGATTTCCGCAGCACCCGCTCAAGGCACACATCATTGGCATCACAGCGCAACCAGCCATTCCTCATGCACACGCTCGATTTCAAAAAAGCACCCACTCACGATAGAAATGCAGTTGTCTCACGAGGATTTGAGGAAAACCAGCCGTTCCCCACGTAGACGCCCGTTTTCAGAAGCACCTGCTCAACAGAAACAGCCGTAGAATCACAAGCACCAATCGCCCGTGCTGTTGGTATTTGCAGCCTTCTGCTGGCTCGGGAGCCTGGCAGAGGTCCAAAATTGTGTGGTGAATGGCGCAATTCGCGTAAGCTGCGCGTAAGATCCGCGTAAGCAGTGCGTAAGCGGCGCCCTCTGTTGCCAACCCAGAGCCCAGCAGGAGGAGTGGCAGTGACGCAGTGACAGTCGCAGTCAGGTGCTCAAAAAACACCTCAGACATCAGTGGCATCGCAGCAAACACCGAATCAAAACCAACCATTCCCCATGCAGACACTCGATTTTGGAAGCAGCCGCTCAAGAAACACATCAGTGGCATCACAGCAAACAGTGCATCAAAACCAGCCATTCCCCAGGTAAACGCTCGATTTTGCAAGCAGCCGCTCAAGAAACACATCAGTGGCATCACAGCACTCAGCGCATCAAAAGCACCCAATTCCCCATGTAGACGCTCGATTTTGCAAGCAGCCGCTCAAGAAACACATCAGCGGCATCACAACAAACAGCACATCAAAAGCAACCTTTCCCCATGTAGACGCTCGATTTTGCAAGCAGCCACTCAAGAACCACCTCGGACTTCAGTACATCGCAGCAAAAAGCAAACAAAGCCAGCTTTTCTAGTTTACCAGCATGTCCCAGGATCCCGATTGACGCGCTTTAGCAAAATCCCCAACTGCACACTGGACCTGGGACGACTTAGGGCCCTGGACTTCGCAGATCATCATCTTGAAAGCCTTTCCCCCATGTGCACACCCAAACGCAACGACTTTGCGACAAAGCTTCCCCCGAAGGTCTGGCGCTGCCACGAACGAAACGCAACGACTTCAGCAACTGGGAGCTAGTTGTTTCTTGCAACATGAGTATTTTGGGTATGCTTTCCCCCAACTATACGATGATTGGGTCGACTTCCTGAAATGTTTCCCGCAACTGCTTACTCGATATAGATAGAAATGGTCAACTTTCCGGTTCTGTGCGAAATATAGCAAACACCAAGTACTTGCATAGATTCAAGAAGAGTTGATGCGACCCTCCCGGGACCCTTTCCCCCAACTACTTGCATGGATCACATGAAATCGATGCGACTAAGGACGCTGACTGTAAAATGACCCTAAACCCTAAACTCTTACCCCTCAAGTTTTAGACCCTCAGATCACCCTGAACCCTGAACTCTTACCCCTATAAAGGTTTAAGCCCTCAGATCACCCTGAACCCTAAACTCTCAAAGCTCATCCTGGGACCCGGTCTCGCGAAAGCTGTGGGCCAACTCGGAGACTTCTTCCCAGGAGCTCTGCACCTAGCCCGAAAGCTTACCTTTGGTTGGTAGGGAATGGAGGAATGGGGTACAAGTATGACTACTCTTACTACCATTCTTCCATTCCCTACTAAACAAAAGTAAGAAAGATGCCCAAAGTTGTTGGTCGTTGGGCTTTAGGCTTTTGTTTTGTTGTGACGGCTAGAATCTACCATGGTGGAAGGCAGCTTTGAGAGGTGAGGTTTAGGGTTCAGGGTTTGCGGGCTTCGGAATTTTGGAGAAACTCTAGTCTGGATTGCAGCCTTACGCCCCTTGAATTAACATGGAATCCGAAACGGGATCAGTAACGCCGGACTACTGCGTTTTGAAATTGTTCGGCTTGGGTCTGAGGCTTTGGGCCTAAGGGCTAGGGTTGGCTATATGGGGTTCCATGAGAACTTCAATAATCTTCAATACCCATGGAAATACATGATTACACCTTCATAACATGAAGGTTCAGCGTGTTTCGGGCCTCAGGATGGGATTGAAGTTCGTGCATTTCGGCGCTAAGGGTCGTTTAGAGTTCAGGGCGTAGGCATGCGCCACAGGTGTCGAGGTTGCCTTGGGTTTGAGGCCATGTTAGGATGGAGGCTAGGCTTTACGAGTATAGGGGTTTTGCTGGAAGACATGGCGGCTGTCACAAGAGCAGCCCTGGTCCCGCGGCCGCAAACCTAAGATCCTGGAAAGCCAAAGCACTTCACAGCCCAAGTCTATTTCAAGGCAAGACTGAACTTGCATGCAGGTCGGTCTTATATCAAAACTGAAAAGCCAAGAATGAGCATTGAGGAGCTAAGAAAGACCCTGTAATTTCCGGTTGATCAAGGATGGTATATCAATGCAACAAGTGTATTGACAACGACCAGACACATGTCGGGTATAGATTTTAGGGCGTCGGGTGACCAGGCATCGCCTGAAGAAAAGAAACCTTGTAGAAACCTGAAGAACCATTGTCAAACCCTGAGAACATCCTCATAAACACTACCGAATAATTACAACAAGTACAGGTCCTTCAAGTACTGATCTAAACTCTCAACCCTTCAACCCTGAACCAACAAACCTCGGGCAACAACAGGCCTTGTCGGTGGATGCCTTCCGACGCCGTCTTCGGCGTAGCAGCAGGAGAACTCCGGCGATGAGGCAACAAACCCCACAGGCCTTCAGCGAGTTTAGGCTTTGTTGGTTGCTTTAGTGAGTGAACGGTTCTTAAAACACGGGTTTGTCGTTTGGCATACCACTGGGGCCTTCGTACTGAGAATGAGTTTCGGAGGTATACTACAATATTATGCTGATCGGGATAATGTGGGGACACTTAGTTTCAATCATCCAGACCCCAGTACTCAAACCCTAGAACGCCTTGTAAACCTTGAGAAACCCGTGTAAAACACAGTATAACCCTGTTAAACCCTGAAAAAACCGGAGGACTCGATGAGAGAAGCAGACACCAACTCCCGGAGACTCCAAAACCCAGACTTGAGCAATATTCAGTGCAGTATGGAGGGATTCTTGAAATTTGCTGAGGGTATATTGACTATGTAAATGATTTACGGTGCAGCAGGATCTAAGCTATGAGTTCAAGATAGTTATCATCTTCAATTAGACGTTTTGTGGGAGGCCAACGGCCAACGGCTACTTATTCGCAATCCTAGGACCTGCAGGCCCACATCCAAAGCCTAACACAGATGTCTCAATGCTAGCTGCTAGTATAACACTATCTATCTATTTGTGTGTGTATGTGTAAGTGTATGCGCATGTTTACGTTAATGTGTCTGTGTCTGTCGCTGTGTGTGTATGTGTACGCGTACGTGTACTTGCATGTATGCACGAATGAATGTATGTATGTAGCATGCATGCTATAACACTGTACTCATATATAAACTTACCAACTAAATCCCTTTATGAACTTGTACACTCACTAAAGACGCCACCTTCGCCTCCAACGAAACAGCCACCCCCCTTTCGAAACAGCAAAACGAAACTGAGACCAGAGCTCCCCCACTGGCCGCAGCAATGATAACGAACAGCTCGCTCTCCACCTCTAAATCTTGCGCTTTTATAGGGTTTAGGGTGTAGGTGCTAGTAGGGTTCAAGCTGCGTGGTTTGAGGTGGGTCAGCTAAGGCAGCTAATATGAAGAGGGCCTACTTAGCCTACTTGTAAGGACTAGAAAGGAGTCTGCTTGGTACCTGGTTACTAATCTCAGATTCCGACACCCCGAACCAAGACTCTCCAGGAGGACCGGAAGGTGAAAGGTTCTCTGGTTTAGGGCTTTCAGCTGCAAAGTGTTTCAAGAGGGCTAATGCTTATGGCAACCATGTTGGGGAGCAACGAGTACTGTTACTTGTATCTCCACCCCGTAACACGGTTGGGGCTTGTGCATGCAAGTCATCCGATGCTGGTGGTTTAGGGTACAGGGAGAACGAACAGCCGGCTTACCCTGCGGCTTACCAAGACACTCTTCCTGAAACTTGACCTATGAAACCTCAGAGCCCCTGCAAAAAAGCAGCCTCTGATACTATACAGCACTGATGTAGGGCTGCTGACATTAGAATGGGTTTGCGATCCCGGTCGTACATTATAGCATGGGTGCACAAACCATTGTAAGGGGATTTTGTCACTAGTTGTTCGGATCCTTCGGGCCCTTCTTCGAATTTACGAGGGAGCCCTGACGGATTCTGTGAGCCCTCAAATTCCAAGCCCTCAAGCAGGATTTTTGTTTTTTAGGGCCCTTTTCCTCCCTGCTACAGTCGGAATACCTGGTAGGTAGAGCCGATACGAGGACCAAAGGCTCAGCCAAGATAATATAACTGTAACTGTACTGCTCCAACCCTCAAATGCAAAAGCAAGCAAGCAGCTACAGTTGAGCGGGCCCGGACCTGCACAGACCTATCCAAAGTGGCAAGTATAAACCTTCAATACAACCCTCCCTACGGCTTAACCCCAAGCAGGGTTCAGGGTTTAGGGGTTTAGGACTTAGGCTGTGGGAAAATGCAACACAGGCAGCCTGATTCGCTGAGCCCCGCGCGATGCTCAGTATGGTCTCAAGCACGCCGGACTCCGAGGGTGCCTGGTTCGGTTCAGGGCTTATGTAGGGAGTGTGGGCTGAGGCGACGGTAAGGTTTAGGGGCCGAAGGTTAGGTTCCCCTCAGGAAAATCTGCTATACCAATGCCTTAGACTTTGAGGTGAAACGAAGAGAACGCCAGCATGTATCCTCCTTAGTCCACGACCAACTTTCTGGGCTTCAAGGTGGGGAGTTTGGGGTTGGGGTTGGAGGTCAGGATTTAAGGTTCCAGGGGCCAGAAGTGAAGGCTTTAGGGCTTAGGGTGCTAATATGTGCCTTTTGGTTTTATATGGCTTATGCCGGGCTTATATGGTTTAGCTCTGGGCTGTCAGTCCCAATCGCTTGGAGGGCCCAGGCAGCTCGTTAGAGCGTGGCTAGAAATATTCTTGTATATTTGGAGGCCCACGGGATTCTGCAGGCAGCAAGAAGGATTTGTGCAGCAGGCTGCAACAAACCCGATCCGCAAGGCTCTGTTGGAATGCCGGCTCCTATGGTCTGTGCTCAGAGTTCTTACAAGAAGCTAAAGAATACTGACATTGGGCCTATGTAGGTAAGTGAGTCGTGGGAATCCGTGGGAATATAGGTACTGATTATTGGGTACGTGAGGGTCCATGTTGCGGTTGTCTACGGCGACCACCAGCGAATCACCACTTAACCATTTGCACTGGTATCGCGGCTTCTCCGCCGCTGCTTCTGCTGCGAGTGCTGCAAGAATGAATACCAGCTAGCAATGGTCATTTTTTGAGTAGTCTGCAGTCTAAATTGCCCCGAAACTTCGACTGTCATACCAAGAAAGAGGGTTCACAGCCCTGTTGCTCAATATGGGTATGCTTTTGTTCATAGCTGTCCTCTTTGTCTCGGAACAGTTGTATACAATACCTGGGCACGCTGTCCTAAGAGTTGAAACTGCAACCCCGGGGAACCGCAGAACAATCATTGATGAAGCCCTATAACGAATATCGCTCTGATTGTAGAGGCCCAGTATTCTTGGAAGACAACTCAGCCGATGACATACCGCGAACTGCGGGTTCACGTTGGCGTTCATCGTTTAAGCTTTAGATCTTGGGGTGTAGGGCTTTGAATTTAAGGTGTCGGTCACGGCTTGGAGTTTGATACGCCTGGTTGTCGATGCAGTGTTTGTCCGACCGATGATGTTTTATGATCTAGGGAGTGCAAGGAGAGAATTTACCAATTAGCAAGTGCTCTGTCTCTACCCAGCCAAGCCTCTGTGACGACTGGACGCTCTGAGACCGTGGTGGCAGGCGCCGTCGTGGGCCTGCAGTGTTGGGATGTCGTCCACGAAGCATCCCGAATTTTCATTTTGACCGAGATCCCAACCCTTTTCAAATCGAAGTTGGAACCTCTACGCCTCTATGCGGAGTCGCTGAAAACGGTAAAAGGATGCATTACTTGGTAAAGGGGCGTTGGGATCTCTGAAAGCATGTCTCAGTGGTCAGCAATCTTATCACCAAAAAACTGGCTCACACTGGACCCTACAACCGTAGCCCACACCAAATGCAGCCCTTAAAGCATCTTCCACCCTCCAGCAAAGGCACGTTGGTCAGGCAAGTAGCGTATGATTCAGGGTTCGTTTTGCGGTTAGGGGCTTACGAATTCGAGATTGCGGACTTTCTAGATCTTCTAGAGCGCATATCTCACGGAAGGGACTTATGAAACCAGTGTGCGTAAATGAGAAGGAGTGATTTGTTCGGAGGAGTCCTCTGCGAAAAATCGGACTCATGCAGGGCTTCATTCCGTCTTATAACCTCAAAAAACTTGAAGCATAATGACTGAGTGTGACATTCATGAATTCCACAATCAGGAAACCTGATCCATACTGTAGGCACCTAATAAATCCCCAGCGTCTTCCACGAAGACTGTTGAGTTTGAGGTCCCGACGCCAAGGTCGCACCGCCACCTGCTTCAAAATCCCGAAAATCATTGGGTGCAGTGCTTCTTAAGTGTTCTATAAAAGTACTTGTACTATAAAGTTTAAGATGAAAGGTTTGGCGTTCATCCTAGACCCAACTCCAACTGCCTGTGTAAAGCCTGAAATTACATTCCTAAGGTAGTGAGGGCTGCCTGAAGAAGGTGCCAGAAGAACAGGTAGCTTCCGTTCCGAGGTGGCGAGTGCTTCGTCGCACAGATCTAAGGCTCTAAATGCCCCCGCCCCCCACCAGGAGATGTTTTCGGTGCCAAGAGCCCTTTCAAACGCATCCAAATCACGAAGCCCATAATTAAACTGGACTTGGCATCCATGCGCAGGCTCGAACATCCGAACCTCAAAAGAGGCTGAAACGTCAATGCCCTGTGCAGTGTACAGAATACACTCTACGTTGCAGGTGCGTCTTTTCCGTCCCTGGATACTTCGACTGATGTCATGGTCATGATAACTGTTGGCTTAGCTGGCACCCTACTTCGAACCTGCTTGCGAACTACCCGAACCTCCAGCCTCCAGGTAAACCCTAACTTTCTGCCGGAATGTGCACGAACGAGTCTCAAGGTTACAGTCGGTGTACTGCTGATTCAAGAGATTGGTATTGGATATCTGAACTAGGCATCCCAGGGCTGGACCGCCAAACCTTACACCCTGAAGCCATGAACATGTGAGGCCAAACTACAGGTAGCATAGTGAACCCTAAACCCCAAAGCCTGAATGCTATCGGCAAACCCCACTGTTGTAAGCAGTGAGGCTTGGCTTATTGCCTATTCGGGCCTTAGGAAGAGTGCACACGAAACACATGCGAAACGCATGTCCAAATCCTGGAAAGACCGATATAGATACCTACACAAACCCTGCCAAAATCCTCACCCTGGTGTAGCTGAGCGCCCGTTCCAACGTGACATCATGCCTGTGACCATGAACCTAGCTCAAATCATTATGAGACCTTGCAAAACCATAGATTGAACTTATACGAACAGTGGAGCTGGATACAATCCTATGAACAAGAAGCCTAGCCTCACCCCTAATTAACGTCCTGTAAAGCTACTATGACCTAGAACCCGGCTGCCTGCTGATCCCCAGAAATCGTCGGCAGCATCCCCACCCGAGTCGACGATGGAGGCATCCACACCTTTTCGGACCATTGCAGGGTGGGGAAGAAGTAAAGCGTTGGGGACTCGGGTTCAAGGTAGCTCTGGAAGGAAGTTCCAGAGTTGAGAGTTCAGGGTGTGTTGTTGCGTTGTCGGTTGGCTGTATCGCCTAGGGATCATCATATGGCCTTTCAGGAGATATGACGTGGACATGGTCTGGTTTCTCGAACTTCAGGGCTACTATTACTGTAGTGACTGAGTGCATGCGTATATAGTCTTCAGTATGTATAGAGTGTAGGGCTTGCAGGAGAGTCTTCATGACTTGGAAACATCCTGCGTCAAGAAACAGCAGGGGGCTACGGGTGTTGCGGCGGAGGGCGGATGGGGGCGGGGGTCCGGATCCAGGCGCGACTAGCCGATAACTTTCAGTAGGCGCCCTGTATTTTGGCCAATCTTCGAAACAGAGATCCCTTACATACAAAGAACACAGTGTAAGCAGGATCTTGTTGCTATTGCCACATTGTCTCTGACTAGACACTCGTACAACTGCTACGAAAGGTCCTTGTAAACCCTAATCCTCAAAAAGTCCTACGAAACCTCTTGTCCTTCCCTTGCAACGTCCAAGCATCTTTCGACTCGGCATTCAACACCAAACTTAACGCTCTTGCATGTCATCCCTGGACCAAGGCCAGGGCAGGCGAATCGCGAGGGGAGCAGCCGGCCAAGCAAACACCTCGTCTCCATCGACAGCGAGTTTACCCAAAGTCAGAGGACATAGTAACTGAGCTGTTAGGGGCTACGTCTTCAGAAGTACTTTTCTCAAATTTTCACCTTCATAAGCTATAATTAACCTACTTAACTATAATCCCTCAGCGACGACACGGAGGGACAGACGGAAACAGAGATGTGGAGAGAGACAGAGAGCTGAAGATCTCAGGTGTGCTGACCAGGAACCGGCGCGTGAGAGAGAAGGAGAGAGAGAGAGAGAGAGAGAGAGAGAGAGAGAGAGAGAGAGACAGAGAGAGAGAGAGAGAGAGAGGGAGAGAGAAAGAGAAAAATAGGCGGTGTCCACGCGCGATTTAAGTGGCAAACACGGCTTGAGAGGTGGAGCGGTCGGCAGGGCTATTCTGATCCTGCACAGTTGGTGACCACTGCTTTGTCATTGTCTGCCCCACGAGCCAATGAAAAAAGCCTAAACTGTTGGGGGGGGGGGGTGTGCGGCTTAAACCGGGTTTATTTGGAAGCTGGTGCTTGCACTCTAGATAGGGAAACAGTGACCTAAATCCCTTATATATAAACAAGAGCCAGCTTCCAAATAAACCCGGTTGGGGGTCCCGGGCGGGGACAGGGCCGGGAATTAAATAATTTAAATAATTTAAATCCTGGCCGGGGGGGTTCCCGGGGGCCCCGGGCCCCAGGATTTAAATAATTTAAATAATTTAAATCCTGGGGAAGGGCTCCGGATTTAAATTATTTAAATTATTTAATTCCCGGGGCCCTGGACCCCCGGGGACCCCTCCCCTTCAGGATTTAAATTATTTAAATTATTTAAATTATTTAATTCCCGGCCCCATTTAAATAATAAATAATTTAAATAATTTAAATCCTGGCCGGGGGGGTTCCCGGGGGCCCCGGGCCCCAGGATTTAAATAATTTAAATAATTTAAATCCTGGGGAAGGGCTCCGGATTTAAATTATTTAAATTATTTAATTCCCGGGGCCCTGGACCCCCGGGGACCCCTCCCCTTCAGGATTTAAATTATTTAAATTATTTAAATTATTTAAATTATTTAATTCCCGGCCCCATTTAAATAATTTAAATAATTTAAATAATTTAAATCCTGGCCGGGGGGGTTCCCGGGGGCCCCGGGCCCCAGGATTTAAATAATTTAAATAATTTAAATCCTGGGGAAGGGCTCCGGATTTAAATTATTTAAATTATTTAATTCCCGGGGCCCTGGACCCCCGGGGACCCCTCCCCTTCAGGATTTAAATTATTTAAATTATTTAAATTATTTAAATTATTTAATTCCCGGCCCCATTTAAATAATTTAAATAATTTAAATAATTTAAATCCTGGCCGGGGGGGTTCCCGGGGGCCCCGGGCCCCAGGATTTAAATAATTTAAATAATTTAAATCCTGGGGAAGGGCTCCGGATTTAAATTATTTAAATTATTTAATTCCCGGGGCCCTGGACCCCCGGGGACCCCTCCCCTTCAGGATTTAAATTATTTAAATTATTTAAATTATTTAATTCCCGGCCCCATTTAAATAATTTAAATAATTTAAATAATTTAAATCCTGGCCGGGGGGGTTCCCGGGGGCCCCGGGCCCCAGGATTTAAATAATTTAAATAATTTAAATCCTGGGGAAGGGCTCCGGATTTAAATTATTTAAATTATTTAATTCCCGGGGCCCTGGACCCCCGGGGACCCCTCCCCTTCAGGATTTAAATTATTTAAATTATTTAAATTATTTAAATTATTTAAATTCCCCGGCCCCATTTAAATAATTTAAATAATTTAAATAATTTAAATAATTTAAATAATTTAAATCCTGGCCGGGGGGGTTCCCGGGGGCCCCGGGCCCCAGGATTTAAATAATTTAAATAATTTAAATCCTGGGGAAGGGCTCCGGATTTAAATTATTTAAATTATTTAATTCCCGGGGCCCTGGACCCCCGGGGACCCCTCCCCTTCAGGATTTAAATTATTTAAATTATTTAAATTATTTAAATTATTTAAATTCCCGGCCCATTTAAAATTTAAATAATTTAAATAATTTAAATAATTTAAATAATTTAAATCCTGGCCGGGGGGGTTCCCGGGGGCCCCGGGCCCCAGGATTTAAATAATTTAAATAATTTAAATCCTGGGGAAGGGCTCCGGATTTAAATTATTTAAATTATTTAATTCCCGGGGCCCTGGACCCCCGGGGACCCCTCCCCTTCAGGATTTAAATTATTTAAATTATTTAAATTATTTAAATTATTTAATTCCCGGCCCCATTTAAATAATTTAAATAATTTAAATAATTTAAATCCTGGCCGGGGGGGTTCCCGGGGGCCCCGGGCCCCAGGATTTAAATAATTTAAATAATTTAAATCCTGGGGAAGGGCTCCGGATTTAAATTATTTAAATTATTTAATTCCCGGGGCCCTGGACCCCCGGGGACCCCTCCCCTTCAGGATTTAAATTATTTAAATTATTTAAATTATTTAATTCCCGGCCCCATTTAAATAATTTAAATAATTTAAATAATTTAAATAATTTAAATCCTGGCCGGGGGGGTTCCCGGGGGCCCCGGGCCCCAGGATTTAAATAATTTAAATAATTTAAACCCTGGGGAAGGGCTCCGGATTTAAATTATTTAAATTATTTAATTCCCGGGGCCCTGGACCCCCGGGGACCCCTCCCCTTCAGGATTTAAATTATTTAAATTATTTAAATTATTTAAATTATTTAATTCCCGGCCCCATTTAAATAATTTAAATAATTTAAATAATTTAAATCCTGGCCGGGGACCGACCCTCAGCGCCCACCCATCGTCCCAACCCCCCCCACCCACCCTTCCTCCCACTTCACACTCCCTCCACCTCCTGCCCACCCTACCTCCCAAACACCCTCCCACCACCCTCTCACCCACCACTTCAAGGGCTAGGGATCCCACACATCTGCGGGCAAAATCTGGCGGAAGTGATCCGCCACCGAGCAAACAGCCTGTAAATACCGCATTAAACAAAGGGCCAGGGATTTCGCACATCTGTTGGCAAAATCTGGCGGAAGTACCGACTGCTCACTTCCGCCAGATTTTGACAACAGATGTGTCAAATCCCTGGCCCTTTGTTTAATGCGGTATTTACAGGCATTTTGCTCGGTGGTGCATCACTTCCGCCAGATTTTGCCCGCAGATGTGTGGGATCCCTGGCCGTTGTTTTAACGCGGTATTTACAGGCTTTCTGCTCGGTCGCGGCTCGCAGGGATTAGGGGGACACCCCTTGCGATCTGTGGTTTTCGGATCTGAGTTTTCACAAGACCTGAAGGGGACACCCCTTGCGATCTGTGATTTTGGGATCTGAGTTCTTACAAGACCTTAGGTGGACACCCCTTGCGATTTGTGATTTTGATACTTATATTTGTTACAAACACATTTAGGGGGACACCCCTTGCGATTTGTGATTTTGGAACTTATTTGATATAAAAACCTTCAGGGGGACACCCCTTGCGATCTGTGTTTTGCGGATCTGAGTTTTCACAAAACCTTAGGGGGACACCCCTTACGATCTGTGATTTTGGGATCGGCGTTTTTACAAAACATAAGGGGACATTCCTTGCGATTCGTCATGTTGGGATCTAGCTTGCGCGAAAGCCTTTAGGGAGACATCCCTTGCGATTTGGTATTTCGGGATCTACTTTAGCGCAAAAGCCTTCAGGGGACACCCCTTGCGATTTGTGATTTTGGAACTTATTTGTTATAACAACCTTTAGGGGGACACCACTTGCGATCTGTGCTTTTCGGTTCTGAGTTTTCACAAAACCTTAGGGGGACACCCCTTGCGATCTGTGATTTCGGGATCTGAGTTCTTACAAAACCTTTTTCGGAACACCCCTTGCGATTTGTGAGAATTCATTTGTTATAAAAAGCTTTAGGGGGACACCCCTTGCGATCTGTGATTTCGGGACCTGAGTTCTTACAAAACCTTAGGGGGGACACCCCTTGCGATTTGTGATTTGCGGATCTGAGTTTTCACAAAACTTAACGGGGACACCCCTGTAGGGGGACCTCCTCACGATCTGTGATTTTGAGATCGGCGTTTTTACAAAACCTAAGGGGACATTCCTTGCGATGTTGGGATCTAGCTTGCGCGAAAGCCTTTAGGGGGACATCCCTTGCGATTTATTATTTCGGGATCTGTTTTAGCGCAAAAGCCTTTAGGGTGACACCCCTTGCGATTTGTGATTTTGGAACTTATTTGTTATAACAAGCTTTAGGCGGGCACCACTTGCGATCTGTGCTTTTCGGTTCTGAGTTTTCACAAAACCTTAGGGAGACACCCCTTGCGATCTGCGTTTTTGGGATCTCGAGTTTTTACAACACCATAGGTGGACACCCCTTGCGATCTGTGATTAACCTGTAGGGGGACACCCCTTGCGATTTATTATTTTGGAACTTGTTTTTTCAACGAACCCTTAGGGGGACACCCCGTGCGATCTGGGTTTTTGGGATCTGAGTCTTTACAAATCTTGGGGCGACACCCTTGTGATCTGTGATTTTATCTGTGTTGTTGCAGAACTTCAACTAAAAGCAAATTTCTTGCCGACGAATGGGTAGATGGAGCTCTCTTGTTTTTCGTGAAGTTGAAGGGGCCTGTCTGCTGTGCTGAGATGGACCTCTCTCCCGTCTCATTACATGGGAGGAGGCTCTCAATCATTTCTTGTGGAGGATGAGGTAGAAGACTTTTCTTTTTGGAAGCAAGAGGGGCCCTGGCTTCTCTTGCTAGGAGCGAAGTCTCTTCAATCTTCTTAACATAAAAGCGACTTACCAAGAGGTAAAGGCTCTCTCTGCTCGAATAAAGCTCTCGTCTCTTACCAAGAATAACTTGGAGTGAACTCTCTTCCTGCTTCACAGCAGGGTAAGGTAGAGGGCTTGGGCTTCTCGTTTCGTTTTGAAGGCCGCGGGGAGGACCGGCCTTTCTCTTGTCAAGGTTTGAAATTTGGAAAAGCTCTATCCTT